AATCTCCCCCAAATTCACCCCAAAATCCAATGGGAACCCCAAAATCCCCAAATTCACCCCAAAACTCACCTGGAACCCCCAAATCCTCCAAATTCACCCCAAAATCCCCAAATTCACCCCAAAATTCACCCCAAAATTCTAAAATTCCCCAAATCCACCCCAAAATCCCCCAAATTCACCCCAAAATCCCCCTGGGACCCCCCCAAAATCCCCTCCCAGGCTTCACCTGCGGGGTGGGCGGAGCTTCGGCGTCACCCCCAACATCTGGATGGGGGGGTCCCTCCACACCTGGATCGGGGGGTTCCTCCACATCTGGATGGGGGGGCTCCTCCCCCTCCACATCTGGAATCCTGGGGGGCGGGAACAGCTGGGTGTCCACATCTGGAACGCCGGGGGGCTCCTCCCCCTCCACATCTGGATCCCCGGGGGGCTCCTCCCCCTCCACATCTGGAACACCGGGGGGCTCCGGGCCCCCCACATCTGGATGGGGGGGTTCCTCCTGCCCCACATCTGGAATCCTCGGGGGCGGGAACAGCTGGGTGGCCACATCTGGAACGCCGGGGGGCTCCTCCCCCTCCACATCTGGATCCCTGGGGGTCACGAACAGCTGGGTGGCCACATCTGGATCCGGGCTCGCCACCCCTCCCCCCGCCGGGATTTTGGGGCCTCTGGGGGCCGCATTTGGGGGCAGGAACAGCTGGGTGGCCACATCTGGATCGGGGGAGGGCGGCCCCTCCGCCACATCTGGAAGGCCGGGGCTTCCCGGGCTGCCAACATCTGGGGAGGGCAGGAAGGGCTGGGTGGGCACATCTGGATCCGACTCCTCCTCCTCCTCCACATCTGGATCCGGCTCCTCCTCCTCCACATCTGGATCCGGCTCCTCCTCCTCCACATCTGGAATTCGGGGCGGCAGGAACAGCTGGGTGGCCACATCTGGATCCCACCCCTCCCCTCCCCCCGCCACATCTGGAGCCCCGGGCGGCCCCGGGGCGATCCGCCGCCTCTTGGGGGGCCGAACATCTGGATCCTCCTCCCCCTCCTCCACATCTGGAGCTTCCGGGAGGTTTTGGGTCGTTTTGGGCCTTTCTGGGGGCTCCACATCTGGATCCTCCTCCTCCACGTCTGTGTCGCTCTCCACCCGGCACCGGATTTTGGGGCTGGCAACATCTGGATCTGCAGCCACATCTGGAATTCCTGACAGGTCTTGGGTCATTCTGAGCCTTTTTGGGGGCTCCACATCTGGATCCGCGGCCACATCTGGAGTTCCTGGGAGGTTTTGGGTCATCTTGAAGGGCTCCACATCTGGATCCTCCTCCACATCCGTGTCGCTCTCCACCCGGCACCAGATTTTGGGGGGCTCCACATCTGGATTTGGGGCCACATCTGGAGTTCCTCGTAGGTCTTGGGTCATCCTGAGGGGCTCCACATCTGGATCCGCGGCCACATCTGGAGTTTCTGGGACATTTTGGGTCATCCTGAAGGGCTCCACATCTGGATCCCCCTCCACATCTGTGTCACTCTCCACCTGGCACCGGATTTTGGGGCCGGCCACATCTGGATCCGGCTTTGGGGCCACATCTGGAGTTCCTGGGAGGTCTTGGGTATTCCTGAGGGGCTCCACATCTGGATCTGTGGCCACATCTGGAGTTTCTGGGACATTTTGGGTCATTCTGAGCCTTTTTGGGGACTCCACATCTGGATCCGCGGCCACATCTGGAGCTTCCGTGAGGTTCTGGGTCATTTTGGGCCTTTCGGGGGGCTCCACATCTGGATCCTCCTCCACGTCCGTGTCGCTCTCCACCTGGCACCAGATTTTGGGGCCGGCCACATCTGGATCCGCAGCCACATCTGGCGTCTCAGGCACCTTTTGGGTCATTTTGAGCTTTTTCGGGGGCTCCACATCTGGATTTGGCTTTGGGGCCACATCTGGAGTTCCTCGTAGGTCTTGGGTCATCCTGAGGGGCTCCACATCTGGATCTGTGGCCACATCTGGAGTTTCCGTGAGGTTCTGGGTCGTTTTCAGCCTTTTTGGGGACTCCACATCTGGATCCTCCTCCACATCTGTGTCACTCTCCACCCGGCACCAGATTTTGGAGCTGACAACATCTGGATTTGGCTTTGGGGCCACATCTGGAGTTCCTGGGAGGTCTCGGGTCATCCTGAGGGGCTCCACATCTGGATCCATGGCCACATCTGGAGTTCCTGGGACATTTTGGGTCATTTTGGGCCTTTCTGGGGGCTCCACATCTGGATCCTCCTCCACGTCCGTGTCACTCTCCACCTGGCACCAGATTTTGGGGGGCTCCACATCTGGATCTGTGGCCACATCTGGAGTTTCTGGGACATTTTGGGTCATTCTGAGCCTTTTTGGGGACTCCACATCTGGATCCGCGTCCACATCTGTGTCACTCTCCACCTGGCACCGGATTTTGGGGCCGGCCACATCTGGATCCGGCTTTGGGGCCACATCTGGAGTTCCTGGGAGGTCTTGGGTAATTTTGGGCCTTTCTGGGGGCTCCACATCTGGATCCTCCTCCACGTCCGTGTCGCTCTCCACCTGGCACCAGATTTTGAGGGGCTCCACATCTGGATCCGCGGCCACATCTGGAGTTCCTGGGACATTTTGGGTCATCCTGAAGGGCTCCACATCTGGATCCTCCTCCACATCTGGAGTTTCTGGGAGGTCTTGGGTCATTTTCAGCCTTTTTGGGGGCTCCACATCTGGATCCTCCTCCACGTCCGTGTCGCTCTCCACCCGACATGGGATTTTGGGGCCGGCCACATCTGGATCCGGCTTTGGGGCCACATCTGGAGTTTCCAGGACATTCTGGGTAATTTTGAGCCTTTTTGGGGACTGCACATCTGGATCCTCCTCCACATCCGTGTCGCTCTCCACCCGGCACCAGATTTTGGGGCTGGCCACATCTGGATCCGGCTTTGGGGCCACATCTGGAGTTCCTGGGAGGTTTTGGGTATTCCTGAGGGGCTCCACATCTGGATCTGTGGCCACATCTGGAGTTTCCAGGAGGTTTTGGGTGATTTTGGGCCTTTTTGGGGGCTCCACATCTGGATCCACGGCCACATCTGTGTCACTCTCCACCTGGCACCAGATTTTGGGGGGCTCCACATCTGGATCTGTGGCCACATCTGGAGTTTCTGGGACATTTTGGGTCATTCTGAGCCTTTTTGGGGGCTCCACATCTGGATCCTCCTCCACGTCCGTGTCGCTCTCCACCTGGCACCAGATTTTGGGGCCGGCCACATCTGGATCCGCAGCCACATCTGGCGTCTCAGGCACCTTTTGGGTCATTTTGAGCTTTTTCGGGGGCTCCACATCTGGATTTGGCTTTGGGGCCACATCTGGAGTTCCTCGTAGGTCTTGGGTCATCCTGAGGGGCTCCACATCTGGATCTGTGGCCACATCTGGAGTTTCCGTGAGGTTCTGGGTCGTTTTCAGCCTTTTTGGGGACTCCACATCTGGATCCTCCTCCACATCTGTGTCACTCTCCACCCGGCACCAGATTTTGGAGCTGACAACATCTGGATTTGGCTTTGGGGCCACATCTGGAGTTCCTCGTAGGTCTTGGGTCATCCTGAGGGGCTCCACATCTGGATCCGCGGCCACATCTGGAGTTTCTGGGACATTTTGGGTCATTCTGAGCCTTTTTGGGGACTCCACATCTGGATCCGCGGCCACATCTGGAGCTTCCGTGAGGTTCTGGGTCATTTTGGGCCTTTCGGGGGGCTCCACATCTGGATCCTCCTCCACGTCCGTGTCGCTCTCCACCCGGCACCGGATTTTGGAGCTGACAACATCTGGATCCGGCTTTGGGGCCACATCTGGCGTCTCAGGCACCTTCTGGGTCATTCTGAGCCTTTTCAGGGGCTCCACATCTGGATCCTCCCCCTCCACATCTGTGTCACTCTCC